TTCCCATGGAGAATCCAGAGCGACATAAATCTGGCTAGCAACATGAAAGACCTTTCATACTCTAAAGTTCATTTGTTTTATTTCTCACTAAGATGTGGAAAGTATTTTTTTTTTTTTCAGATTACTTGACTAGATTGTATTCATCTTATTTCAGTTTGCATGGTTCATAACCAGTTTTGTTTCAGCTTCCTATCAGCTTTTAAAAAAGTTGCTAAATGTCCAGTGCGAAAAAGCTGCAATCAGATGTCCTGCTGAACTTGAGGTGGGCTAATTGTCCGCAGCTGTCTATTCTATCCTTCTGCTTAGGTCCTACATAAGGTGAAGTTTTAGTTTAAATTGTTCCCTCAAGGTACACTAAGCTGGTGTTGAAGTGCATAGAGACCATTTTTATTTTATCATGCTGGTTCCACGTAAGGACAGTTTCTTCCTGAGTTAATTAGGGTTTCCTGAGGAGATCTTGCAATGCATTTGGGTTAATTCATGTTCTTTTAATACTGACTTAAATTCAAAAGGTATGTGAACTAACTATGCTCCTTCTTTTAATACTGACTTAAATTCAAAAGGTATGTGAACTAACTGTGCTCCTGTCTTGAGGTTCTGGAGATGTGCTGGCTCATGCTAGATAGCTTTCTGAAGAAAAAAACATCTGTAATGATCACTTGCCTTTATAAAATAAGGTGTCTTCTTCCTGCGGGATTTCTTAAAGGTACAATTAATTATATGAAAAGTCAAATATAGTTCTTCCACTGAATTACAGATTACCCCTTTTCTTAAATGTTATAATCTATATGTATCCTTTCAGATTTTTTTTGGGATACATAAGATTTGGATTACACATTAGTTCTTTAGATACTAAGTAAAACTGAATGTTAAGAATTTGTTTGCTATAGATGTTTGCTGTGTCCCTTATGCTGGTGGGAACGAAACGGTTGAAAGCCTTCTAGATAGATATTCATTATTAGAGGCTTGTGGAAAAACTGTGTGGTGAAGCCCATTGTCTTCATAGTTGGAAAGTAATACTGTAGTAGTCTGGGGTAAGAAAGTCTGGGGTTTGGGGGAGACCAGCTGTTATTCAGAGTACCTGCAGCAATCTTTTGATTATATGAGCTCACTGAAAACATTGTGTTGATCATATTACATTGCCTCCACAAACTTACAGTGCTTGGGGCAAGTGTCTCTGTGGTTAAAATACCTACATCTTCCTTCAAAAATGCCATAAAGAAAGATCACAGAACCAATTATTGTGGTCCATTCTGTAGAAATAATGACTTCTTTTTAAAATTTCTCAGTGCAAAGCTGGTTTAGTGTAAACTCTGTGGTGAATGAGCCGACAGCAGTGTGTCAAAAGTAAACTCCTTGATTTACTTATCCTCCAACACTTACTTCATAAGAGTATACATCTAGTTCTGCACATATTGACTTTTGCAATTGTTAGTACAGTATTAGACACCTGTAAACAAACTGGTTTTATTCAGGTGAACTTTTTTAGTGTTGTTTGTTAATCATGTTTCTTGCATGGGTTTCTTAAGAATACTTATGTGTCTGGTTTGTTTTGTTTTTTAATTCTGGTAAATTCTGGTAGTGAAGATTGCTACAGGAAAATGGTTTTAGCTTTGACAGCCATTTCTGCATTCATGGACTGTTCAGGCAGGTTAGAGCGGGAGAAACTGCTGCATTATCAGTATTATTCGGAGAAAAGGACCCCCAGTAGTGTTACCTACAAGGGGGCAGAAGTGGCTAGGTTGTGTCTGTCCCTGTTTTTCTTACTTCAGGAAAACTAACCTTGGAGGAAGAAAAGTCTTCCATGTTGGTAAGCAGTCTGCAAAGTAAGCTATCCCATCTATTAACAACATATTGATATGTTCAGAAATGTATTTCAGCTTTCTCTGAAAAGATAACTTTAAATTACCAGCTGAACTGAAGAGTCCTTTGCAGTGCTGCGATACAAGATTATATGCCCTGCAGAAAGTTTGATTTAATTCTTGTGTGATTCTGCATCTGTCTTGCACGGATAGCCATCATTGAGTCACAACACAGAAGCATGTCCACCTGGTTTTCCCATAGAGTACACAAGTATCATGTCAGTTTGTTGAAATGTAATTACTACCATCTGTCACGCATAAGGATTTTAATATCTGGAAACTTGTTGCAGGTCATCAGCTAGCACCATGAACATATTAAGGGAATGGAGGATCTTACATATGAGGAGAGGCTGAGAAAGCTGGGACTGTTCAGCCTGGAGGGGAGAAGGTTCATGGACAGTCCTACTGATGTTTCTAAATGCTTGATGGGAGGGAAAGAAAAAGAGGAAGCCAGACTTTTCACAGTAGTGCCTGCTGACAGGACAAGAGGCAATGCGCATACATTAAAAACCATGAAATTCTGTTTGAACACAAGAAAAGACTTGTACAACACTGGTCAAACAACTGGCACAGATTTCCCAGAGACGATGTGGAGTCTTCATCTGTGGAGATACTAAAAACCTGCTGGACAACCTGTCCTGCTGCCCTGGGCAGCCTGCTGTAGGTGACCCTATCTGAGCAGGGGTTTTGGATTAGATGATCTTCAGAGGTCCCATCTATCCTCAATTATGTATTCCTATGAATAGTACAAAATTTGTGTGGTGCCATGATTTTTCAACAGGACTCTTTATAGAGTTCAAACTTGGGCCTTAAGTACCTTTGGACTGAGATAGTTCTTGTTGCATTTAAAATTCTTTCATTCCATGGGAACAATCTGATTTTTGCAGTTTCTCCAAACATGTGGCTTTCCCCAAAGGGAGCAAGAATTGCTGTCTCTCAACATGCTAGCATAATCAGTATACTGTTTTTCATAACCTTTTTCTGTATTTAAGACAGGTAGTGCAATCTACTAGTCATGTTCCCTCATACATCCCAGTGTAAAATCTGCCCTTTTGTTGCTTAAAACATTGTGTTCAGTCTGAATGTCTTCATCTTGTGTGTATGTTCTACCCTTATTTTATTCTTTCCCGTCTCCCCTCAATTTTGATGTAGTGAAAGCTACGATCGGAGCAATTCAGCTCTATCCTTAAACAAGGGGAAAAGAGTAGTTTGCCCTTGTGTTTAGTACTTCAAGCAGATTGTCAGGAAAATTAGCTAAGCTTATACGCATGTGTGTTTTCTATAGATTGTGTACTTAGAATTACTTTTCCTATCATTGCACATCTGTTGTGGGCTTTGCTGGATTCAGTGGCCTTACGTGAGTTGCAAAAACCTCTCCTGTTTTGCCAGTTAAGGTTTTGCTGGCCCAAATAGCTGGAGCTGCCAGCCTGAATTAAGGAACAAGTAACAGCTGTGTGAGGGCAGCAGAAATGTAAACTGGGACAAGGATCACTTCAGCTTTAAGTTCTCCTGGCAATGAAATGACAAATGTGAAGGGATTCTTACTGTTAAAGGTGATGAGGAAGAAAAAGACAGTAAGCTGCTGCTCCTTGCTCTTTTATCCTTTATCTTGGTCTGTGAGTGTAGGTTGTAACAACTAATTGCACATGGCTGGAGAAAAGAGCAAAGGGGAATGTCCAAAATCAGAAACTGCAGAGGTCCTTTATTTCTACTCTCCTAGAAGTATGAGGGGGTGCTTGCTTTAAATAGTTTGAGGTATCTGGCTATGACTGCCTGAGAAACAGCACCTTCTTAGGCTTAGGAGTGGGAAAGCAATAGCATGGTGTTCTGCTCCAGTGGGTTTGGATCATTTTGCTGGTTATCTCTGGAGAAAACTTCATGTTCGGTTCAGTGTAGCCACCATAGCACCAGCTTTTTTGGTGCTAGTGCAAGCAAGCGAGAAACACTTAATCTCCTCCATAGTAGGGCAGAAGCCACAGTGTTTTGGGACTTTGGTTCTGTGCCTCACTAGTGAAGCCTGCCCAAGAGGGTGGCTAATCATCAGACATGCTGTCTATTTTAGACAGGTTTCTGAAGAAAACAAGCTTCAGTGATTGAACTGTGTTGGCTTTTCTGCCCTAGCCTGTTTTCAACCCATCAGACCATTTCAACCAGATCTGGCAGGGAAGTAAGGTCCCTGAAAACATGAAATTCCGATTTTCATGAAAATTGCATGAAAATTGATTTTTCATGAAAATTCATGTCTGTTTTTGGAACGGACTAGTGTTCGGTTGAGGAAAGAGCTTCACTGAGCTCAGTACGCAAGTTTGCAGGCTAGTCTGTGCATGCACAAATGGCTGAGTAGGCTACACCGAGCAGCATTAGCCCCAGCCACTGCTGCTTCCTGCCTAGGTTTTATGTGAGAGAGCTGTGTTTGGGAAGGGGAGGTCACAGGGAAGTAGGACACATTCAAAGAAACAGCCTTTATATTTCTGTTCTTTGAGAAACGTCTTGTGGGAACTGTATTCTCTTTTTCCCAAAAGACATCTGAGGCAGATGGCTAGATGATGTCTAGTTATCAGAACATGAATGTCTTTGCTTCTTCTCTCCCAATAAGGACTCTTCTCACAGCCTTAGCTTGTACTGTGGCTGTAGAAGTTTTATGCTTTGCTTTTCATTTTATTCTTTCCTTTTAGGATGTTGCAGGTTTAGAATGATACTTTGATACGGCATCTCTAAACTGAAGACCTGTATTTTCTTTCCAGACACAGACTGAAGAACTGGCCAGAGAAACCTTCTGCTTCCATCAGCGGTCCCAAAATACAGGTGGTAGTGTCCTGACATACTTCAGTTTTCAAGAACTCAGTTCCCCTTGTATAAAGTAGCCATGCACTTTTGCTAACTGTTTGAAAACCTCTTTTTAAACTCTTCTAATGTATCATGCAAATCTGTATTTCCAATGCTGATAGGAAAACCGTATAACCTAGTGATTTTATAGCACCTTGCTTCAATAAACACCTACAACCCCCAAAACTCGGAAGAACTAATCTGTAGCTATTGTAGAATGTATTAGTTGCACCTGGTTAGCATGTGTACATGTTTAGCTGTGTGAGCTGGTTACAAGCATGTATTTGTAGTACACATCAGTGGTATACGTTGTGATGTATGTCTCGTGGGGAGGTGTGGAGGGGGAAGTTGAAATGGCTCTTTTGCAGGTGATTAAGCTAAACCAGAGCAACCGCTGATTCCCTGGCCAGCCAGCTTGCTGGGCCAGTTTTTAAATTCTTGTGCTCTGTTGCTGGAGATCTCCAATTAGCCTCAAACTGGAACTCTCAGCTTGTGTGTGAACCAGGCAGCTGCTGGCACGCAATCTTCCCTGAAGTTGTTTCCTTTCCTTTTTCCTGAGATTTAGCGCAGGGGGGGAAGGGGCTGGAGTCACATGGATACAAAGCTTTTGATTAATGTCCAAGTCTGTGCTGCTGCTGCGGAGGCTTTCCAACCTCTCAGCTAACACGGCGAGCTGGGAACCAGTGACCGCTTGTTTCCTCCGGGCTGTGTCCTCTTCCTGACGGGAAAGGAGCACGCACCGGGCTGGCTCCTCGCCTCCGGACTTCGGGCCGCTGCCGGAGCCGGGTGAGAAAGGAGCTGAGACTGCTGCTGCGCAGCTGGGCACCGGCCGGAGCCCGGACCCACTATGTAACTGAGCGGGGTCTTTTGTTGTCCTTGTCCGCAGCGGAGCGCTGGGCGTTGAGGCAGCGCTGCCCGCAGCCGGGAGAGCCGCCGGGCTGTGAGGGAGCTCCGCTCCTCCTCGCTGCACCATGACAGAGGAAAGCAAAGGGGAAGGCAAGGGGGAAAGCGGGAAGGACCTAGAGAAGCAGCTTCGTCTGCGCGTTTGCGTCCTCAACGAGCTGCTCAAGACCGAGCGGGACTACGTGGGCACGCTGGAGTTCCTGGTGTCGGTGAGCGGACGGGCGCGGTGCGGAGAGGGTTGGGGGAGACCTGGCCTCGCCTCGCCCGCCGGTCCCGCTGCCGCCGCCCGGGGAAGGCGGCGCCCTCGGTGGGGCACGCTGCTGGGACAGCGGGACTCGCACCCGGGAGGACGTTTTCCGCCCCGAGCTGTGCTTTTGCTTAAAAGGGAGGGAGGAAGTGTAACAACTTCTAAAATGGCCGGGGAGGGTCGTGTGTCCCCCACTCTGCCCTCCACCTCCTCCGAGAGCCTCCACTGGTGATACCACTTTGAAAGGGGTGATCTCGCTTTTTCCGGGCACGGGCGCTCAAGGGGTTAGTGTGTTTGTGTTCAGGTCTGCCTAGGGTGCGGAGGCTTGTGTTCATTACAGTTCCATTACTTGGTATAGTCCCTGAAGGAGAGCGGTGCGGGGGGTAAGGGGAGGGCAGGGGTGTGCTGGTGCGCCGCAGCTGCTCGGCATTAGAGCCACATGCGGCATTCCCCCCTGTCTGGTGATACGGGGTCAGCTGGGAAAGTAGCACATTCTGGTGCGAGCGCTGTTACAGCAGTTTCAGCTTTTCCACGTCTGATTATCACTAATACCATAATCGGAAAGGCAGGAGTTTTCACTCTCTCAAAAAGCTAAAGTGACAAATTCTCACAGAACAGATGCGGGCAGTGTTCCAGTTGCGCATAGTCTCTGTAGCATCTCTTTAGGACCCTGTTGAGATCAGTATCTCCAAATCAGCTTCTTAAGTTTGCAAAAGATTTCACAGTACCCCCTCATGCTTTTCTCTCCTCCCCTGTCCCATTGGAGAGGGGAAATCCTTCAAACTGCAAACTTCCTGCTTTGCTGCCTTGAGATCCTGAACTTTCTGCTTATTATCATGAAAGAGGAAATTCTCAACTTGGCTGTGACAGGGAGAATAAAAGCACAGACGCTGGAGTGAAATAAGATCTACAGAGTAGTTTATTTTCTCCATATGTTTATCCTCAGCAGAACCATGAAAAATGGTAAATGATCCAATGTGCTTTCTGTTAAAAAAACCCAACAACAGAAGTTTGAGAAGTGGCTGCGTGATTGTGTTTTCCTTTCTTTCATTTAACAATCAGATTTTAACCTATTGTAAGAAAATATCTATCCTAAGGGAACGTTCTTCAATATTTTCTCTGAAGCCATGAATTTGGTGTATGTTGGAGCCTTAGATGATTTAGCAAATTTAAAGAATTTGTAGTATCTTTAATTTTGGACTCTACAGTTTAAGACATAGTGGGTATTGGTGTTCAAGCAGTAAGTATTCAGCTCCTTCTAAAAAGCATACTCCATGTATTCCAAGTTGCACCCAAATATTGACTTCATTAATAAGTATTTTTGCATTTTGGAACAAGATGATCTAAATAAATCATATGGAGAAAGGGAGGAGGGCTGGAGTTTAATACCTGGTTCTATGTCAAGTTTGTCACATTTGTTAATGGTTGTGAACAGGGTTCACGTGACAGTTCAGAGGTGTAAATGCTTCGGAGAGAAATGTCATGTGTATTAATCTGAACCTCAGCCTGAGTTTCAGGAAGCAACTTCTGAGCTTTCCTTTTGCCTACCTACTAGGTCTGCTAGGTGGTGGTGAATTTATGAGGGCCACTGGAGACCACCACATTTATTTTACATAAGCCATCAAAACTGTTTGTTGTGCTTGTTCCTATGTTAGCATCTTGATCTGGAGGTTAGATCCACTCATTTAGGTGTCCTAGGCTTATGGTTCTCTTTATTCTTCTTAAAAACATTGCCAGTTATAGTTCCAGCTCTTCTGAAATACAAACACTACCCCAGATTACCTTTTTCACATCATGAGGTGGTCTTGGGGTACACAGCCTGGGTTCCCTATGGATGGAAGTGAACTGGAAGGTTTTTTGTAGGAGTGCCTCTGGCTGATAATGAGGGTACAGTTCCTGGGACTAGACTAGAGCTAGTCTGAAGTGTGGGGTCCCAGTGCTGTTTCTCTGTCCAAACCTTACCATATTTTCCAGGGTGTCTTGTTAAAGTAGAGGCAGCCTGAGAAGTTGAAGTTCCAATAAAAGTTAGGAGTTAGGCTGCCAGGTCACTTCAACACCATCAGTGGAGCTCACCAAGGTAGAAACTACGTTGTATGATGGAGAAGCTGAAGCCATTTAAAGTCTTCCTAATAGTTTGCATGAAGTACCTGCAATTTTCACTGTAGTTAGTAGGAACTGAGTATTCAACTGGATAAAAAAAATCCCTGTGGTTTTGGGGTGAGAGCCAAATTCTTCTGTGGGGTTATAGAATGTAATCTTTTATGATGTGTATGGTTCATCTGGAAAAGTACATTAGCACTTGTGTAGTAGTGGTGGGCAGGAGACCTAACTTCACCCATTTGGAGTGCAGTTTCCAGTTTGTGTATATGCCTTGTTGAGGGGGCAGTTAAGGAACAGGAGGATTTGTTTTTCTTCAGTTTTTAGTAGGAAAGGGACGGTATGTACGCAGGATTTGTGTGGAAGCATAACATCTTCCTGAGTATTTCATGACATCTTGTGGAGTCAATTGATAACATGCACGACCCCTTAAGCTGAGGCAAAACTATACTGTTGCAATGGGCAGTATGTAATACAGAAGTGGAAGATGAAGAGTAAGCCTGGTTTATCCAAGTGGTGAGAGGAGGAGACCCCCTCTAGCTGATGCAGTCATGATGGGGAATGGGACTTCACCTGGTACAGCTTGTGGCTGGCTGAAGAATGAAGAGATTTTATGAAGGAAGTGCCTTTGCTGGTGTGTGTCAGCATGGGAAATGCTTTGCTGGTTTCCTGGCACAGGAAACATGCTTGTTACATGTTAGACTTACTTAGGTTCTTCAATTTATAATGGAATTAGAGTGTATCATGGAGGATAAATTTCTGATTGATTATTGAAAGTATTGTTACTCCCCTACTCCTTTGTGATTTTTCGTCCTCCAGTTATCAGTTTAGTGAGAAGCAGCATGGTTTGTGTATTCAGTCAAAAGTCTATAAGACAAAAGTCCATAAAAAGTCTGTAAGTGCAAGGCAGAAGATTTAATTATATTCATTATTTTATTAGGGAGATGTAGTTGGGCAGTTATTCCCATGTGAGTTTGTTCACCTCTTCTTTTTGGCTTTATGCTGTATAAATACAGTGTGTTGTTTTTAATCTGCAGTCATCACAAATCAAACCTGAGTGGAAAGGTTTAGTTCTATTAATGTTATACTTTCAGATCTCCTGAATCTTCCAGTAATAAACAGTAGTAATAAAGTATGTTGAAACATCAGGAATACTAGGCAGTAACAGTTTTGGGCCTACTTGAGTGAGGTATGTAAACATATGCAAGGGGGAAAAACTGAAGTCCACTGGTAGTTGCCGCAATGTTGGAGGGAGGAGGCATGGACAGAAAATGATGAAGAAAGGCGTACACTTTTCCTTCAGACATTTCATTATAACACTTGGAGTGTCATTGCAGTACCAGAGTTTTTGTTCTTCTCATTTAGCATTTCTTAAAAGAAGTAGATCAACTGATGGAAGAATTTACCAAACGCACTAAAATGTCTTTGAAGACTGTGTCTTCACAGTCTTCACACATTTTTTTTATGAGCTACAGGATGAGGTTTCTGTTACAAACTGTTGATACCTTGCTGCCTAAACTAGCATTTGGGATTTTTCTGCTGCTGTATGATATCTCTGATGATCACATAAAAAATTTCGAGACTTTATCAATATGTCCTTACCTATTTTGTTCCTTACAGCAGATTAACGTGTGTGTATATTTACTGTGCTTTGTGGAAACATAATAAAAATTTCATAGTTTGCTCTAAAAGCACAATTAGCTAAGTAGACGGAAACGACCTAAACTTTTCCAAGACTCTCATTGGCTCACAGTTTTATGCTGGGGAATATAGTTGATGTTTTAATGAATGTTTTATAAAATAAGTTGTTGTTTTTCTGTTTTTTTTTTCTAATTCTCGTAATGTGTTTATGTACAGTTTCATTTACTGTGTAAACCAGGGTACTTGCCTGAACTGTAAGTGTAGCAGTAATAAAGAGACCAGTAAAGCTGTGAGTAGCAGTTGCTGAGAAATTAAAAAGTATTTAATAATAAAGACTTGCCAAAAAGTGGTGAGCTTAATTTGTCACCTTGTAACTTGGTGTAGGGCTAAGTTTTTATGATAGTGCTTTACAGTGGCTCTTTGCCTAGTAAAGGCAAACCAGGCCACGAAGAACTTTAGTTTTGCAGGTACACTGCAGGGAAGTAGGCTAGGCACAATAGTACATAACTACACATACGTATATGTGTCTGTATATGTATAAATATAAATATGTATATATATTTTGGGGAAAGAAATTTTATTTTGGAATAGAAATTGGAGATGTAACAGACCTGCTGCAGTTGGTACTTCAGGGGATATCCGTGAAGTAGAGTTTATTTTTCTATGACAGGGATTGTTTTTCTGGTGCAGTTTTGTGTTTTGACAAATTTGACATTGATGGGAATAGAAGCAGATGTTGGCAGTTGCATAAGCCTTCTAAAACTCCATGGCCTCAGCTGGGGTGAGTAGTTAGATGTTGAAGCAGCTGGGGGAAAAAAACCAAAGCTAGTTTATTATGTAGAGTATAATGCAGTTTACAGAGTCTCCTCTGTGAATATATATACATTTCTGCCAGTTAACTCTCAAATCTCAGTTTAATTCCATTAGATACTATGGTACTATCTTTCCCCTTATCTTACGCTTGCATTAAGGTGAAAAAAGGGTTTGTTTGCTTTAAATGTGAGGGAAGCCAGATCCTTGCTTTTTAACAGGCATGAAGATTTTGTTTGTAAGGTTTATTGCCCAGCCTTCTCAGTGGCTGTGTGGCTCCCAAGGATCTGTATTTCCCTGCCATGTGGAGCCTTGCCTTTCTCTTGGCTCAATAGGAATTTCTCTGATTGTTGAGCAGGCTGATTAGCTGGACAAATGATTAATAGTAATTGAGATTCAAGGTAAACCAGTCAA